ATGGAACAGAAGAGATCCTCCATAAATCACGATGAAGAGATGATATAAAGTTTTTGTACCATCTAACACGAGTGTTTAGATTCTGTGAAGAAAAAAGGCACTCTCCTTTGATTAACTTTCAGAAAATTCCAAACATCAGCAATGCGAGGTGGAACTCAAGAGCCATTCTAGCTATTCTTGCAGTTATTCTTATATCTACAAGACGGAAGACTTTGGAGAAGATATGCAAATTCATTTCATACACCTGGGCAGATTATTGGTTACTGATCAGATGTACGATGAAAATGACTTCAAGAATTTGTCAGAAATATTGAATTATTATAATCAAAGAAAGCGCTAAACCGACAAGGGTCATGCAGCGCTGCGGGGCAGAAAATAGAGCCGGGGCTATAAACAGTTAGGCGGAGAGGGGATCAGAGGTGAGGGGAGAAAAGGGCTGGAAGGGACGCTAAGGGCTATGTGTCAAAGTTTGTACAGTAAAGCATTTGCTGATAAAAAGCCAAAGTGATCGTAAATCAAAGGCAGGGCCGTCTGCAAGAAGGAAAGATAAGGTAAGAGCGGAAGGCGGCGGCGTTGTTGGAGGTAAATCCTGCGAGCTCGCTGGGAAACCGGGCAATCCACAAGAAAGTGAAGAACCGAAATAGGGACCTGACAAACCTCATGGTAAGACGGGCATGGCTGATGCGGAGACGGGAGAGCGAGAAGTAGTCGTAGGCAGGACAGCTTTGGCGCACGACAGTAGGGGAGAACAGACACGAACCGTTGGAACCTTCCAAGGGGGAAGGGAAAAAACAGACGCCTAATGAACATACAAGGGAGGCAAGTGGAGAGAAGACCGGAGTGAAGACGAAGAGAAAACGGTTGGATTAAGCAGGGGCACCTAACAAATATTGGGCTTCTACTAACGTCTGAGACCAGCCTATACATAGAAGGAACTCGAAGGTCATGAGCACGGACAAAGTAACGGAGACAATGAGCATCATGACGATCAGCTAAGGAAGGAACATTTGCCTCTACATAGAGGCTTTCAACAGGGGATGAACGAAAGGCACCAAGGCATAAACGTAGACTCTGATGATGAAGGGGATCTAACTTAGAAAGAATTGTAGAAGCTTCAGAATAGACTTAGTCGCCATAATCCAGCTTGGACAAGACTAGGGTGGAATGCAAACGGAGGAGAGTTCGGTGATCTGCTCCCCATGAACAATGTGCAAGAACTTTGAGGAGATTCAGCCGACCAAGACAACCTGTCTTCAAAGAGGAAATGTGAGGTTTCCATGTCATCCGGCGATCGAAGAGAAGGCCAAGAATCTTCTGGAATACGTGAGCCGTGTCAGTACAATGGAATATCTGGGATAAGACGACGTCTAGTGAAGATAATAAAATGGGTTTTCGTACTAGAAAATTTAAATCCGTGAGAAATGGCCCAATGGGAAACTCGGTCAATTGCATCCTGAAGGGAGGCTGCTACCAGACGACAGTCAGCACCTGCGTAAGCTATAGCGAAGTCATCCACAGAAAGTGACGACCAAATATGCGATGGAAGAACAGAAGGTAGGTCATTTATAACCAAGAGAAAAAGGGTAGTGCTGAAGACACAACCTTGTGGGATTTCCTCGGCTTGAGCAAAGTCTAAGGAAAGCGAGGCGCCAACATGCACACGAGAATATCTGTCAGATAAGAAAACAGCAAGGTAGGTTGGTAGATTACTGCAGAGGCCTAAGGAGTTGGCTGGGACTAAAATGTTATACCTCCAAGTGGTGTCATATGCTTTCTCAAGATCAAAAAAGACTGCTAGGACGGAGCGTTTGTTAGCAAAGGCATTTCACACATACGTATCTAATGGAGCAAAGGTTCCAAAGTAGAGTGGCCCTTGCGAAAGCCATGTTGGCGAGGAGAAAGACTATTGTGAGTTATCAAATACCATATCAAACGTTTATTCACCAATCGTTCCATTACCTTACAGACTACACTGGTCAGCTCAATGGGACGATAGTGAGAGGTATCAAGCCCCGAGGTGCCTGGTTTGTGAAATGGTAGGATAATGGCGGATTTTCAGTGTTGAGGGAGAACCCCTCGTGTCCAAATAAGATTGAAAAGACGCAGAAGGACTGTAAGGGCTGTAGAAGGCAGATGTTGTAGCATACTGATACGAGTATCATCAGGCCCAGCTGCCGATGACTGGCAAGCGGAAAGCGTGGACTGTCTCTAGGAGAGTGAAAGGTATGTTATACGGCTCCATTCTATCAGAGGAGAAATCCAAGGGCAATTGCTCCTTGGTAGACTTAGACGCAAGAAATGAGGGACAAAGATGAAGCCCTTAGGAGACACAGACAAGATAGTTCCCTATTTTCGTGGCAACTTCAAGGAGTTCCGCAACACAAACACCAGCAACCCGTAAAACGGGAGCTGGGTCCGGAGTGTACTTGCCACACAATTTTCGTGCCTTCTTCCAAACCGCACACATAGGGGAAGTCGAGGAAATGATAGAAACGTAGTCTTGTCAACAAGTGCGTTTAGCGTCGCATATGACAAGGCGAGCGACTGCCCTAGTCCGCTTGAAATCCAAAAGATGATCTGAGGTCCGATAATATCGATAATGGCCCCACACAGCATGTTTCAAATGCACTGCACGGGCACCAAGGCACTCATGTCTGAGAATGCCTCCTGAGGTTTGAAGAATAGAACGTGATGCTGCAGTCAAAACTAAGGTCAAAAACTGGTGCTCCAGCTCATCAGTAGAGGACGAAGGAGGGTCCCCACTAAAGGCAGTAACATGAGAGTATAAGTTCCAATTCGCTCGTCTAAATTACCAACGAGGGCTACGAGGTGGTCAGGAATATGTAGTAGAAGTAAGAAGAATAGGAAAGTGATCACTATCGTGCAAATCTGGAAGATTTGCACGATAGAAAGGTCAATGCAAGAGAGAGACAAGTCAGAATGGGTGTGAGCACCGGTATTTAAAGCAAGAAGAGGATGAGAAGTGAGAAGAGTCTCCAACTGATCACCACGAGAGTCACAGCGGGATCCTCCACACAGATGATGGTGAGCGTTATCACATAACAACAAGATGGGCGGTGGTAGAGAAGAGATCAAGAATGCAATATTCGAGATACAGAATGCATTGGAAGGGGAGAGACATAGAGAGCAAACTGTATACCATCTGTGCAAATAAATATGGGTTGCAGTATAATGCAGCATCAGAAATATTGAAACCCTACAAAAAAAGCACTCAACTCATTGAAAAATCACCAGAAGCAGGAGCCGTCTACACTCAATATACCAAGAAGTAATCAGTGTGCTAAACGTGTAATCAAAGTTATGCAGGAACTGTATGTTGCCTGCAGAAACAAAAACAAACTGCAACTTCGGTTTATTCTATGCAATTAGTAATATATGTACAAACATGATAACAATGATTCTGTAAGCTGTTTTATTTGTTATTAATATTACATGCAATATGCATTCAAGTTACTTGTTTTCATTACTCTTTTTTTCTTATCATTTAGGGGCGACAATTTCTAAAAAGATATTGAAATGAAAATTCATTTCTTTGCTTTTAGGCAAAAGTTCATCTGATTAAGGTACAGGAATATTACGTTGTAAAAGAGTTATAACCCTAACCCTAATATAAATATATATATATATATATATATATATATATATATATATATATATATATATATATATATATATATATATATATATATATATGCAAAACGACCACTGTGAAAGAGTAGTGAAATTCCAAGCGCTTTCGTGACTTCTCACATTATCAAGGAACTACAAAAACAATATATCAAAGGAAGGCATATAAAGGGTCAAGACTACACCTCACCATCACATCCCACAACAAAGCAACACCTCACACACGCATGACAACACCCGACTCTGTGAAACCCACCTAATACTCTACCCAGGAATTAAGATTTATTTCTTGTTTAATGATCATTAAATTCTTCCCAAATTTTATTAATTATAAATGAATCCAATTTATATAAACCAAAGGAAATATTCATATTATTTTCAAAACTGCTTTTTATGAAATAAGATTCAATTATATTCCTGTCGACCATGGACTTGCTTGATACAACTTTATCAACTTTTTGAAAATCAATTGGATGGTTAAAATCTCTCACATGAATAAATAGAGCATTGGAATCTTGTCCAGTTCTAATGCTATATTTATGTTGTTTTAATTTTAGTTCGAGACTTTTACCAGTTTGATCGTAATAAACTTTATTGCAAATTTTACAAGGAATCTTATAGACACCCGTCAGCCTTCTTAAGACTTTTAATATCAAAGTTATATTTAAAAGTCTTGATACAGTAAAACAACTTTTGATAAAGAATTCCCCCCAAAATGCTGACGGATGTATCAATTTCGTATATAACTACTCATTCAGTCAGAATGAAGGTAATCGTAAGCGATATATAAGTTATAAGTCTGTCAAGTGTTATTTATATATTATAAGTAAAAGTACCATTTTAAAATACCTTATAGAATATTACGTAAATTACGTTATATTAAAAACAAATTTTAATGCAGTCTTTTCATCACTCCATCATATAAATCCTTATTACAATTTTTCATGAGTATATTCAATACTAAGGATCTCCTATACTCAGGCCAAATATATTACAAATTCTAAGGTCAATCGTTATAATTATCATTACAATACAACCAATTTCAATGTTTACTTCTTTCTTAATATTATTCCTGATGCTAGACACACAGACCAAAGTACTTCTTTGATTAACATATAAACTTTATCATGAAAGAGTAGTCCAATGTTTGATGGAATCTATAATACAATTACAGATTAATTCCGAGTAGTAAAACACTAATACTAAAACTCTGATGTCAATCAGCGAGTCATCCTCCAGTTATTGCATGGAATCACACAATTCTAGGATTTTAAACTATATTAATATATCTGCCAATTGCACCGACATAGACTATAAAGAGACATATTCAAGACAGTTTATGGAAAAAAATATTCCATGCCATTTTAAACAGTTTTCAACCATCAGCTAAACAGGATGAACCAACGATGAAAGTTTGAAATCAATCAGAATTTATCGCACAAAAACTACCTCCGGGCTGCATAACATTGACTACATGACACCAACACAAGCGAGTAGATCCATGAACCTTGACCAGGTTACAGCACACCAACCTTGACAGTTTTCAAGGTGTTCACCTAAGGCGTTCCAGAGTTATCAAAAAAAAAAAAATTAGGAACAAAAGAATATGCAACTACGAACGTCCTAGTAATATATAAAAGGTTTTTCTAAAGTCTTAAGACTTTAAAACACAATAAAAAGATGAATTATATTCACTTATATTACATTTAAAATTCTCTACCATAAGAATAACGTAGTTCATTTTGTTTTCTTATAATAACTATTTTTCATAATTTCTTCAATAAAATTTGGAAATAAACAGAACCCAAAATAAAGGCAAACAAAATCCAAATTAAGATATACCAGCATTAGGATTTCAAGTCGATCAGAAGAGATTCCTCAATTATTAGACGAGGGATTATCACATTTTTGCTGGTAATCCAACACTAGTAAGTCTTAACTTGTCAAATTAAGTAAATTGTCAAATTTGCTTTACACGAATTAAGCTAATTGTCCTGTATTTCACATGCATACACATCTGACATTTAACATGATTTTAGTGGATAAAATCACTATTTTTCTAATAAAACTCTCAAATGGGCACCTAAATGCTTCAGTTGCACTCAACGTTCTCGACGAATTAGGATGCAGCGGCCTCCATTAGTCAAGCAACAGAGAATTGTGATAGTAACTGGACCTATTCCAGGAAACTTAAAAGTGGTTACAGTATTAAAAATCTTCCCTGTGAGAATAGACTGAGGGCCCTGAATCTGCACTCTCTAGGAAGGCTTAGAATTGTGGAGGATGATTGAGGTGTATAAATGGAAAACAGGAATGAATAAAGGGGATGTAAATAGAATGCTAAAAATATCTAGCCTAGACAGGACTCGCAGCAATGGCTTTAAGCTGGAAAAATTCAGATTCAGGAAGGATATAGGAAAGCACTGGTTTGGTAATAGAGTTGTGGATGAGTGGAACAAACTCCCGAGTACCATCATAGAGGCTAAGATGTGTAGTTTTAAAAATAGGTTAGATAAGTATATGAATTGGTGTTGATGGGTGTGAATTTGACATGACTAACTTGTGGTACTAGGTCAGATGCCGTGCTCCTTCCTTAAGTGAACCTGACCTAACCTGACCTGACCTGACTAGATTAAGGCATTGGCTTAAGCCGATAGGAGAATTGGCCCTGCCTCGCATGGGCCTGTAGGCCTGCTGTAGTGTACTTTCTTATGTATTATGTACTTTGATCATGGGACACTTGCACCCGCTAATAACTGCATGAATCCTTACTGGTACAGTAAACCAAACTAGAAACTTGAAAAGTTGAAACCTATGGAAAATTTGGAGGAAGAAAAAGGAAAAAAAAAATACTTCTCTTACCATCTTGAAAGTATTTCTTCAGGGATACCTAATTACTCCTTCCTTGGCTTTTAGATCAATATATGACTAAAAGTGTGTGAGGTTATCCTTACGCACTTTTAGTCAAATATTGATCTAAAAAGCGCCAAAGGACTACCGCCAAATTATCTCCCACATACCTTAAATAAGTGACGTGTATTAGTTTGATGTTGAGGCGGTAACATACACTTCAAAGTTTTAGGTATGTTACCCAGTACTACACTTAGTGACCCCTTAGCGGCGCCGATTTTTTGTTTGTTATGCAGTAAACAAAAGAACAGACTGAAGCTGATAAAGGCTGTCATTAAATAGATGAAGTCGGAATTGGCTCAGCAAAATCGATGTTGCATATGTCGTGGTTGTGTACGAAGTTAATAGCTTAGTTCATGGGCACCTGAGTGAAGAAGGAAGAGAAATTCCAACTTCCAATATCTTCTTTTCATAACTAATTCAATCGAAACTGGAAATAAGATTGCCAGAATGCAGGAGATGAGATTAGCTAATTGTAGCCAGTAACAGTCACAGGCTCCTGGCAAGGACTTCTGCTATTTTCTTGCGAGATCTGCTGATGCCTGAGGCGACGTATCTGAGAGGTGGTCGGTTAATGGGTTATGAGTAGTCCATAAATGTGTACAGGTTGAGGGCTACTGGTTAGTCGTTGGTTAAATTTCTAACTTGTTGGTGTGGAAAAACAAAGCAGCTGAAGACGAAGTCACACGAGGGTGGGGCCCACTAGTGGGCATAGGTCATACACTTAAGGTAGACCAGAGATATAGCAATGGAGCTGCAATTGGTATCCTCTGTTTCAAGATTCTACAGTATCTCTCCGACACATAAACACCTTAGAAAATTATTACCGTGCCTGATGCATGAACAACATGGAATCTTGGTACAGAGACTATATTCTATAACTCTATTTCTAAATCTCTAGCAGACATTACGATCATGGCTTACTTCCACTAGCAGTTCCTACCAACATGTGAACACGTTTTCACTTGCTGCATTTTCACATTTCTTTTACATCTCAATTGATCTTTAAACCGCTTTATGAGCCTTTCATACTCCCACTACTGGGCCCCATCCACATCTATGCATATCTTCAACTGTTGCATCTCACAATTTCTTCCACTGGCTGAAGTTTAAAAGTCTCAGTCTTCATGCCTCTGTAGTAGATTATCTTATGTAACCCTAATTTGTAGGCGAAACATTTCTCAAGAGAGACGCTTAGATGTTATATATTGTCTTAGTCATCAACTTTTAGCTGTGATTACCATCAAAACAATCATATATGGAACAAACTCATCCACATCCAAAGTTGCATCCCCACCGTATCCCTTGTGGGAGAAGCAAGGAGGTCTCCATTGGAGAAACTGGCAGAAGTTTTCCCACATGTCTACAAAAAAATAAGTATACCTGCAGAATTAAAAACAGTAATGCTTGTGTACAGAAGCACAACTCAGACACACACAATGGAGTGGTAAAAAGCCTACAATGTCTATGAAAATATCTTTGAAGCATTGTATATAGGCTACACTGCTTTTAGTGTCTTCGTTCCACATGTCAAAATGTCATCCTTTATCCTTGCTGAGCCCTGGCGAGTGCTTGTATAAAATGGAAAAACCAGTTTTGGTTACCAAACTGAACATTCGGACCGGGCCTGCCCGAAGCTTCAGGATTAATCAGCAGCGCTCCCTGCAAAAGGATAATGTATCAGTTATACTGTTTCTTAAAAAAAATGATATAAAATTTTTATTTTAATATAGCAGCACAATAACCATCACTTAAATACATTTTAGGAAATTGTAGCCTAAATGTACTTTATCTGCAATTCTCCTTGTTTCTTTATTCAGTACTCTGTAAAATCCTGCGTGCCAGAGCTAAACGTATGAAAGTTTTAAATGATAAAATGACTATAATTATTATATTAAAATTCAAACATGCTATATCGCCCTACAGGGTGACTGGGTTAATTAATGGGAGGTTAGTGAGGTTCGGGGTTCGTGAAAGTGTAATATATAAGTTGGTTTCCGTTAGAAAGTAATTGAGTAGCTGATGTCAAAAATAAATCTTGTAAGCTTTCTGATAGACTGGGACAGTTTATTAAGAAACGGTAAAGTGACAACGAGCTCTGGCAGTCCTCGCCAAGAAGTCCATTTCGCAGTTCTGTGAGTGTGGTTTCTCCTGTTTACAACAGGAATGAAAATTAAATGGTTAGGAACCTAATTTTGATTTGATGGAAAATAATGTGTTGTGATTCGAAGTTGTCGGAAAATTATTGAAACACTGATCGAGTAAGAGACATTATTTTGGATAAAAAGTGGTAGATCACTTGATGGTTACCTTGAAGGTCAATGTTTTCAGGTATCCAGTATAAACAGTCTTCCAGTGTTTTCTAGAAATGCGTTACAACCATTGTTGTGGGGAATCGATTTTTGGGATAGCCTGAAATACACATTGGTAGTCTGTAACGATAACGAATATAGATGTGACTGTAGTTGCATTTTTTGCTCTGCGGTAAAAATACTTGCCGACTTTGTCTTCAGATGTCTCTATCTGGGAAAACACTCAGTTTCTTGTAGTCAAGGACAAGTCAAACACAGATTATATTCAACCCAAGCTTCAAGATTTTAACTTGTCTAATGTACCTCAAATTTTATTAATTATAAATGAATCCAATTTGTATAATCCTAAAATCACTTGGATGGTTAAAATCTCTTACATGAATAAACAGAGAATTAGAATCTTGTCCACTTCTAATTCTATATATATGTCTTTTAATCTTAGTTCAAGACTTTTTCCAGTTTGACCATAATAAACTTTAGGATAAGGTGGGGTAAAAGGCCCATGCGAGGAAAAAGGCCTCCCCCCTGTTTCTCCCTTATTACAGACATATATATCTCAGTCAGTCAGAAGTTATGTACACTACCAGCGCAGTCGAAGTCAACCGGAGAGGAAGTCAACACGTGTTTTTCTAATTTGCCTCCATTTCTTGTAAGTACAGTGTTATGGTAGTGACAGTTTGTACATTGTTTGTGCTTTGCCAATATTAAACCTATAGTGTGTAAGAGGTCTTAAGACTGCCTGACATCGCAATTTACTAGTAAATATTGTGTTGTCAAGAAGTAGTGTTTCGTTTACTTTAATATGGCGACTGGGGTGAAAAGCCCACATCAACGTGGGGTAAAAAGCCTAGTGGAGGCTTTTTACCCCTTCTCGTTATTAGGTGTATATGATTTATAGCTTTGCTTGCTATTGTTTCCTTATCTAAAAAACAATAAAGCGTTTTTCTTGTTTGTTTCAGGTGAGAGATACCGCGTATTTATAAGAGAAAGATGAACCATGCTTCCTGTGGAGAAAGTGTTCTACAGTAAGCTCTTCAAGCTATTCAGGATGGTGCACCACTAAAAACTACATTTAGGAATTAAGGCATCGCATGCAAAACTCTGAGACGGCATCGAGACGGGAACGTTAAGAACTCTGGTGCTGCCCTGCTTGGCCGTTTCAGACCACATTTTGATGAAAATTTAGAGGCCATGTTAGTGAGTCATACTCAAGCAATGAAAAAGGCTTTGTTTGGTCTCACAACTACTGGCGTACGGCGTCTTGCTTTTGAATTCGAAGAAAAGATGAAAATCCCCCACCGGACACTATTTCTCATGACACGAATGGTCACCCAAATGATATGCTAGGTATGAAAGATGGGCCTAGTAACACTAACACTGATGGTGAATCACTTGATTATCTCTCCGTTTCCAGCTCACAAGAGCCACAAGCTAGCACATCCAGAAATGGTGAAGCAAAGATTTTACTTGCAAAACTCTGCAGCCTTCCGAAACCAACTCAGAAAAAGAAAGCATCAGTTTGCTAGTCCACCATTTGCTAGCAGCAGACCCTCTGAAAAATGGGTGTAAGAAATGGTCACATGAAGACTGTACATCTGGATTTGATTGGTATGTATGCTATAACTGTGAATCTGAAGAAGACTGATTACGACATATAGAAAGTATTCTTTCTTAATAGCGGTGATAGAAGATATCATTTTTGCATTTGTCGAAGGAATGTAAACATATTGTTTTTGTTTACAAGATGTGTTTGAATAATTTTTAATGCACAGAGTAAAACGCTCACTCTCTTGGCCTTTTACCCCAGGCACGGGGTAAAAATTCCCTTTAGTGTCTTTAAAGTAACTTTAATTTTCTACATTATAAATACACAGTAGAGAGATGTCACTCTCAGAAAGGAGAGTAAATTAGCTCTGCTTTCTACTAATTCCTCCAACAGATCAATATTCTAAACACTGTAGATACAGCAGGCATTTTACCTTAAGAGAAACTTCTTACCCCACCTTACCCTATCACATTTTTACTGGGAATCTTTAAGACACACCCGTGAGTATTTTGGGGAGAATTTTTTTATCAAAAGCTTTTTACTGTCTCAAGATTTTTAAACACAACTTTGATATTAAAATTATTATGCAGAGAAGGTATGCCAAAATTTTTTCAAAATAAAGGAGAACCAACATATTTTTAGTTGAATCAGGTTGGTTCTCATTATTAAATTGCAATAAGTATTTCTAGCAATTTTAAAAGATTTATCAATTAAGTGTTTGAGAGCTTTGCGTATTTGAGCCCAGAGTTCATAGATGAAGAAATTCTTAAGATTTATGAAATAGAGAATGCTCTAAAATACACAAAACATTTAACTGAAAAATCTTTTAAAAATTCTAGAAATACTTTTTACAACTACAGAAGTTGCAGAGGTTGGTGTGCGTGTTTGGAAGGTTATGTAAAAGAAGGAAATTACAAGTGATCATAGGAAAAAGCAATGTGATGAGGATAAATTTAGGAAGTCAAAGATTGGGTATCAGAGCGGAGGGAGGGAGTATGGAGGAAGTGAATGTATTCAGGTATTTGGGAGTGGACTTGTCAGCAGATGTATGAAAGATGAGGTAAATCATAGAATTGACGAGGGGAAAAAGGTGAGTGGAGCACTGAGAAGTTTGTGGAGACCAAGAACCTTATCCGTGGAAGGAAAGAGGGGAATGTATGGCACCAATGTATGGCACCAATGTGTGGTACCAATGTGTGGTACCAATGTGTGGTACCAATGCTCTCATGTAGGTGTGAAGCATGGGTGGTGATTATTGAAACAAGAAGAAAGCTGGAGGCAGTGGAGACACGTCGTGTCTGAGGACAATGTTTGGTGTGAATATAATGCATAGAATCCGTAACTGCGCTTCTCTCAGAATGAGAGAGGCGCAGATGTCACTCATGCTTCCATACACTGAGAAAATTTCCCCTCATTTTTCCTGTTGCTATCTCTGCAACATTGCGCGGCTACTGATGATACACTGAGAATTGTGAAAGTACTTAAGCTAAAGATTTCCACCCTCCTTGGCTTGTCTTGCATTGTTAAGATTGCCTATCTGCCATTGTTTACACACACACACACACACACACACATATATATATATATATATATATATATATATATATATATATATATATATATATATATATATAATATATTATATATATATATATACATGCTAAAGTAGGAGAAACTTTTAGAGAGGGTGTGGTAGGTAAGTTTAGGGTGCCAGGTGTAAGTGATAATGCGAGCCCTTTGATGGAACTTTGAAGAGAAAGGGGTTTGGTTATAGGTAATACATATTTTAAGAAAAAGAGGATAAATAAGTATACAAGATATGATGTAGGGCGATATGACAGTAGTTTGTTGGATTATGTATTGGTAGCTAAAAGACTGTTGAGTAGACTTCAGAATGTCCATGTTCATAGAGGGGCCACAGATATATCAGATCACTTTTTAGTTGTAGCTACACTGAGAGTAAAAGGTAGATGGGATACAAGGAGAATAGAAGCATCAGGTAAGAGAGAGGTGAACGTTTATAACCTAAAAGAGGAGGCAGTTAGGGTAAGATATAAACAACTATTGGAGGATAGATGGGATAATGAGAGCATAGGCAATGGGGTCGAAGATGTATGGGGTAGGTTTAAAAATGTAGTTTTAGAGTGTTCAGCAGAAGTTTGTGGTTACAGGAAAGTGGGTGCGGGAGGGAAGAGGAGCGATTGATGGAATGATGATGTAAAGAGAGTAGTAAGGGAGAAAAAGTTAGCATATGAGAAGTTTTTACAAAGTAGAAGTGATGCAAGGAAGAAAGAGTATATGGAGAAAAAGAGAGAGGTTAAGAGAGTGGTGAAGCAATGTAAAAGGAGAGCAAATGAGAGAGTGGGTGAGATGTTATCAACAAATTTTGTTGAAAATAAGAAAAAGTTTTGGAGTGAGATTAACAAGTTAAGGAAGCCTAGAGAACAAATGGATTTGTAAGTTAAAAATAGGAGAGGAGAGTTCTTAAATGGAGAGTTAGAGGTATTGGGAAGATGGAGGGAATATTTTGAGGAATTGTTAAATGTTGATGAAGATAGGAAAGCTGTGATTTCGTGTATAGAGCAAGGAGGAATAAAATCTTGTAAGAGTGAGGAAGAGCCAGTTGTGAGTGTGGAGGGGAAGTTCGTGAGGCAGTAGATAAAATGAAAGGGGGTAAGGCAGCTGGGATTGATGGGATAAATATTGAAATGTTAAAAGCAGGTGGGGATATATTTTTGAAATGGTTGGTGCAATTATTTAATAAATGTATGGAAGAGGGTAAGGCACCTAGGGATTGGCAGAGA